AAAAGAACCCTATTTAGTTAAGCTACTGTCATCAGGATCCATTACATGTGACCAAATGCAATTCTTAATCTACAATTCTCCCTACATTTCCTCACCTTCTCCTTATTCTCAAATCATTCCATTCTGGCTTCTGGCCCATCATTCCACTGGCCTCACCAATGACCTGCATGTTGTGAAATCCAGGGGATATTTTCAGTTCTCATATTTCTTAACCTCTCAGCATCATTTGACTCTTGTCCATGGCCTCCTTTTTGGAAACACTGTCTTCCCATAGCTTCCATGACCAATACTCTCTGAGTTTGTTCCTTCACTTGGAGCTGCTCCCTCTCTGTTTCCTTTGTGAATTCCTCTTCCTCTTCCTACCACACTCAGTCTCTCAGCCTCTGAGACAGACCATGGCCTTATTTACATGCTCTTCCCTCTGTTGCAAATGTTCTCCTCTCCTTCCTTTTGCCAGCTTAGTCTTCCTTAATCCTTCAGTTCTCCATCCATTCTTTGCTTGCACAGGGAGCTTCCTCTGACCTCCTTGTGAGGTCATATTTCCCCATTGTATATTCCTTCATAGCTCTTACCTAGTTACAACCTCACCTTTTTTAGTGTGACTCTTTGAGTAAGCTGCCTCCCTCAGAATGTAGGCTCCATGAAGACAGGGATGATCTACTTTTGCTCATCGTTGTATCCTGAGAATGCAAAATGTTCCCCAACACATAATATGTGCTCAATAATTAGTTCCTGTATGCATAAATGGGTGAATATATAGTTACATGGTGATTTATTTGCCTACCTGTTTATCATCATCTTCTTCCAGCTCCATGAGAGAAGGAAACATATCTATTTTGTTCACAACCACATATGCATTACCTAACACATACTACGTGGCACATAGCAGGAAACACAATACATTTTTAATGAATTAAAGAATGAAAGAGTAGGGTACCAAGAGAGACATTCCAATAGTCCCTTCCCTAAGATGTCAGTGTTTGGATATTATTTTACTATCTTTTTAAAAAAAAACATTTTTTATTAATTACTTTTTCTTTTTTTTAAGATTATATTTATTTATTTGACAGAGAGAGATCACAAGTAGGCAGAGAGGCAGGCAGGGAAAGAGAGAGAGGGAAGCAGGCTCTCTGCTGAGCAGAGAGCCCGATGCAGGACTCAATCCCAGGACCCTGAGATCATGACCTGAGCAGAAGGCAGAGGCTTAACCCACTGAGCCACCCAGGTATCCTATTTTACTATCTTTTTATAAAGTTTCTGGTTACAATAGAGTACCAGATACCTTTATTGTCTCTAGAGAAGAGTCTTTTGGAAAAAGACTGCTATCTGCTACCTTGTTCTCCTTACAATATGTCATGTCTAAAATTGGTTGTCTATAAAGATCTTGAATCTCTACACTTCCCCTTTTCATTGCCACCACCCTAGTCAAGCTCACATATTTCCCCTGGAGTGAATTGGACCACACACCTTTCTCTAAGCATGATTTATTAAATTATATATAAACTTGGATGATTCAGAGTTTTGACTGTACCTCAGGGCCAAGGATCATATCTGTTTATGTTACCTCCAAAGAAACCTAAGTACATATGGTACATATGTAATTTTTTATTTTATTGTGGCAGAGAATTATTTCTGTTCTGGATTTTAAAAATGTTTCATTTATTAAGGAAAAGAAGTATTTTTAAACTAGCAACAAATCTTTGTTTTCAAATGACCAAACCGAAAACATTCAAAAAAAGCCAATAACCTTTTAAATCCTCCTACCTTCCTGCCCCATGAATTCTTAGTCATTGAGGTACCTGAGATGCTCAGTGAGGTTGACAAGAAGAGTAATTTATGCAACTGTGACAGATTTGAGGATGCCCCCAGCCTTGTAGTCAGCATATCTGGATCATGCCCTTCCACGAAGGCCAAGCCACCTGTCTTTCTTCCTGGACAGATCTTCCTTTTACTCACTCATAGCTGTAACACCTTGACTTATCTTATCTGTCTAATAAACATATGTTTGTATATATCCCTTCTCTCCATATCCATGCCTGGGAAGGATGCAACCCATATCTTACACATTGTTGTATCCTCAGGACCTAGTACAAAGTCTCGTTGATACAATGATACAATATGCTGATGCTTATTTTCTTTTTGCTAATAAGATTTACCGAGCACCGGGGCACCTGGGTGGCTCAGTGGGTTAAAGCCTCTGCCTTCGGCTCAGGTCATGATCCCAGGGTCCTAGGATGGAGCCCCGCATCAGGCTCTCTGCTCAGCAGGGAGCCTGCTTCCCCCTCTCTCTCTGCCTGCCTCTCTGCCTGTGATCTCTGTCTGTCAAATAAATAAAATCTTTAAAAAAAAAAAAAATTTACCGAGCACCTACGACTGTGCCAGGCACTATGTTAATTTTCAGTAGGTACTATTACTGTTCCCTTTTCGTTGATGGGAATTTAAGGAACTTGCACAAGTGTTGTAGCTAGTGAGTAACAGACCCAGGGCTCAAACCCAGGTTATTAGATTCCAGACCTGGTGCTCTTAACCACTAAGCAATCCTGCCCTTCATGAATATTCATAGGTTACATACTCCAGCCAGGCTGCATTTGCTCCCAACTTTCAGAAGGCAGTAAGTGAGACCAGCTTTGCTTACAACTGATCAGGAGCATTTCAAGTTGTTTTCAAATGAAGTTATAAGTCTGCAGATAATTAAGAAAGAAACCATATTTGGAAACAGCAGGAAGAGGTGATGTATAGAGGCCCACTTTGACATTTTGAAGTGCATTTAAACACATAGCTCAGGGCTATAAAAGTCCCTACACTGAGATTCCAGAAGTATTAAAAATAAAATTGCCTTATTAATTTTTTAGAGAATTGTAAATGACAACCTTTCATCTCTGGGGAAATCTTTCCCTAGAGCTCAAAGCCTCCTAGTGTCTAGGATGAGTAAGTTGGCCTCCATCCTTGTCATGTATCCATTCTCTGTCCCAGAGGGTCAAAGAAAACCATCTCATTTTAAAATGTAAGCATTATTTGTTGAAGGTTCTAGCCAGTTAAACTGGAAGCAGGAAAATCCACTTCATGTGGCATGAGAATAGAAAGCATTTCGCTGCAGTCCAGCATAATGAGGGAAGACTAGTCAAGGTTATTATTAAGGTTTAGTCTCCTCATCTAGTTGATAAGGACAATTAATACTCTTCCTGTCAAGAAAAAAAAGCTTTATGAAGTCTTGACCATTGATACTTTTACCAGCTTGCCCTTTTGTGTTTTGAGTGAGAGGCTCTATTTCATGAACAACTGAGTTTCCTTGAAAGCTCTAGAGAATCCAACAGTTGCAGAAAAGTCCAGGAGTGAGATGACCCAGAGACTTGAACCTACAGCAAAATGGAGTTTCTTCAAATTAGGCATTAGAAGCAGCAGATAAAAGCAACTGGCAACTGGAGATATCCTTATTCTCTGGGCTACAGTCATGCTGGCAGAAGCTTTAACTAACTAAATTTAATTGTGAGTTCTCCAAAGGGAGTGACTGTGTTGCACCAGGGTCATTTTTCATAACATACTACTTTGCAAATAAGTTCCTAGGACTTTGTAATATACTTGACTTCTGAACCTCAATATAAGTATTAAAATGTCAGCATGTCTATTACATATCCCAACTATAAAAAATATGAGTTTAACTGTTCCCCGGAAATAGAAACTCCAATAATAGTTATGACTTATTAGAGTCTTCATTTTGAAAGACTTAAAGCCTCCAGGAGGTATTTATCCAAAATTAGCATCCAGTAACAACACCTTGGGATATCCCTGTTTTGGCAGCATCTGTAGCCAGATCTGGTTACAGTTAATAAACTAATGCTGGAGCTGCTGACCTTAGGAAGACAACTTCTGTCTAACAGTAGGTCCGTATTCTGGTCAATAAGAAATTTACTTGCTCAATTAAATTGGCTTGAGGCCTGTTCTGTTTGCTCTGACATCTGGCCAGCATTGTAGCCTCTTCACAAAGACTTACGGGAGTTTTCATCTCTTCTTCACATAATTTGCTCTGTAATTGATGGAGCATTACTTTTCCTGAAAGAAATATTGTTTTGTGGCTGAATACATACCATTCACTAATTTATTAATTAATCCAATATGTATTGAATACCTCCTATGTGTCAAGTACTTGGCAGGTCATGGAGATACAAAAATTAATGATGAGGAATCTCTACTAATAATTCAACTCAGTAGCCCAGTAATTGTTTGAGGGATCCAGGTCTTTCCATCTATATTTTATCCAGGCAGCCTAATCTACAAAGCCCAGTTCAGGTCTTATCTCCTCATTCGTTCATTTAGGAAAACTTTGTTAGTTTCCCCAAACTGTGAGGCACTGGAATGAAAAAGATGAGGAGAATAAGTCTCCAAATCACTGGGAGCTTCCAGCTTTATAGAGAGGTAAGCGATGTAGAGAGGACCAGATTATTGAAGATGTTTCAATCAAAAGATGTTGATTATCTTTTAGCAGTGAGGAGCTTTGTGACGTTATAAAGGAAAACAGAAGCACGGTTAAATTTACATTTTAGAAAAATCAGTTTGACAATGCCAAGGAAGAGTGGCCAGAAGGAAGGAACTCAGAGGGAGGAGGAATCAAATTCCAAAGCAGTTGAAGAAATAGAAATAACAAGATTTTAATAACATATTGAATGTGAAGACTGAGGGAGAGGATGAAGTCTAGAAAGACTTCTAAGAGATTTCTGTTCTGAGTGGCATTAGCAGCAGGAGAAAGAGAATAAAGTTAGTAGAAAAATGAGTTCAATTTTCCATGTATTTTGGGCACCTGGGTGGCTCAATTGGTTAAGCGTCTGATTCTTGATTTTGGCTCAGGTCATGATCTCAGGGTCAGGAGGCCTGCTTTGGACTCTGCGCTGAACAGGGAGTCTCTCCCTTTCTCACTGCCCCTCCCACTGCTCATGCTCTTTCTCTCTCTTTCTCAAATAAATAAATCTTTACAAAAATTTTATTTGGAATGTGTTTTGTTGCAGGTGCCTTTGGAACATCCATGTGTCAACATAAAGTTTGCTGTTGTAAATGTTTGTCTGAAACTCATGAAAGAGGTAAGGATTCAGACTCGTCAATTTGTAGATTGTAACTGAAACATTAATTACAAGTGATATTGCCAGTTCTGTAGCCATCCATATTACTCCCTAGTCTCAAATGTCTTGTACTCATCCAGTCTTCATTTTTTAATTTATTTATTATTTATTAATTCATTCTTTCCCTTGCCTAATGTGGAAGAATCTCCAGTATCAAACTCCTGGTGACATTAAAGATTCTAGGTGTACACAGATAAATAAGCTTTAATTCCCTACCCTAAAGGTAACCTGGCTGTTGATTATAAACTAATTCTCTAATTCTGTTGTGTGTCTTATTCTCTGAGAAGAAGATAAACTCTCAAAGTAAGACACTCCCTTAAGCTCCTTAAAAAAATCCCAGTAAAGACCTAGTACAAATTCTGCTCTTTGTAGATGCTTAATGTGAACCTTGAGTGATGGATTACTTATTTAAAAACATGGATCACTTTAAGAGCTGTCTGGGTGGCTTATTCAGTTAAGCGTCTGAGCAGGGAGCCTGCTTCTCCCCCTCCCTCTGCCTGCCACTCCCCCTGCTTGTGTGTGCCCTCTCTTTTTCTCTTTCTGAGTGTCAAATAAATAAATAAAACCTTTAAAAAAAAAAAAAAAGACTATTTAGAGGCCAAAGGCAGAGACCTGCTTTTTTAAAAGGCAGGTTTTAAAGTCATTTTAAAAATGACTTTTTAAAAAATAGGAAGATAGCATGTATACATAAAAGTTCATGAAAGTAAGCTTGAGGGCGCCTGGATGGCTCAGTTGGTTGAGCGGACTGCCTTCAGCTCAGGTCATGCATGATCCTGGAGTCTTGGGATCAAGTCCTGCATCAGGCTCCCAGCTCCACAGGGGGTTTGCCTCTCTCTCTGACCATCTCCCCTCTCATATTCTCTCTCTCTCAAATAAATAAATAAAATCTTAAGAAAAAATAAAAGTAAGCTTGATAAAATTTTATAAAATGAACATACATACATAAAACGTAGGCTAAGAAACAGATAATTACCAAAACCCCAGAAGCCCTCTTCTGCCTTCTTCTAGTTACTACATGCCACGGCCACTTTGTTGCTAGGAAGCTCTCTGTCAATGCCTGAGCATGGTATAGATACTAGTGACTGGATATTTCTGCCCAGCATGGGTCCCCTCTGTGAGCTGGCCAAGATTTTCTCAGAGCTTCTTCCTACTCTGTCTGAGGCTCTTCCTACTCAGTCCTCTTTTCTCTCCTCTCTCCTTTCCCAGGTGTCATACCTACATCATGGTCTAAAGATTTACCATGTCTACTCTTTTAATAGATGTTACCAGCAATAAATCTCTTGCAATTCTAATTCTGCCTTGATGTCTGCTGCCCAGAGAACCCATCAACACAGATGGTACCTGAGCTGAAGGCAGACACTTAACTGATTGAGCCACCCAGGCACCCCAATTCAAACCCTTTTAAATGCAGGTGGTCAAGGGAGGGAGAGACTACACAGAAGGATAATGGAATTGGCTGGGTGTTAAATAGTTGCATTGACAGCCTACAGAAGAAAAAGTGGAAATCGAGGGCAGTTAACAGACAGTTATGGCTAAATATGAGAGCCAGCAGGCCTCTTTGATAGCTTATGAAGTAGAAAAACTAGTACCACCCAGGACCAAATTCAGGGTTTGACAGGTAAAAGCCCCCCAAACAGTGGAATGCTCTGCCATACCAGGTCTGTTATACCCTGGTTGAGAAAACCTAGGACCCTGAAATGGGTTGGGAACGTCTGGGTGGATACCCTCAAAGATAGTGGCTCTGCAGTCTTCCTTGGACCTCAGATGGATGTGGCCAACCCCTCCCTGTGCAGGAAGACACTGTAGAGGCCTCTCTTCAAGGCAACAGATGCTCCCCTTCCCACCAGGAACTGTGCCCACCTCCTCTTCTGGCTGCCAGGTTGATAATTACCCTTAAATCCCCACATAAACTGACTGGGACACAGTGGACCTGTTGAGGGTACTAGTGTTCCTCCCTCAGCTCATACCTGTGGCCATAGGGGCCATCCAGTATAATCAGTTGAAGGAGAAGGGAAAAGTCCAACCTTGGTTTACAGATGGGTCAGCTCAATTGTGGGTCAAACTTTGTCTTTGGAACTGGCACAATGGGGACATGAGTGGAATGGCCACGGTGGAAGAGACAGAAGCTACATATGAGGCTAAAAGCATGGACTCCCACTTATCAAAGCTGGCCTCATTATTACTGCCTCTGAATATCTACCCTGCCAGCAAGAGAGACCAATATTCAGGCCATTATATGGCTCTATTCCTTGAGGAGACCCACTGGTAATAAGTAGACTAATTGGGGCCCTTGGGCCCCAGAAGACACAGAGATTCATTCTCACAAAGATAGACACTCAAATATGGATTTGCTTTTCCTGTCCTCAAGAGCTTCAGCCGTTACCACTTTCCAGGGTTTTGCACAGTGATCCACAGGCATGGAATCCCACATGACAGCATCTGACAAGAGGACCTTGTTCCGAACACAGGAGGTATGAATATGGGGCCATGACCTTGGGATTCACTGCAGCATCCAGAAGCTGCTGGCCTGGTAGAGTGACAGGATGACCTGCTGAAAGCATAACTAAAATGTTACCTTGGAGACAAGACTCTTAATGATTGGGCAGTCCTCCAGGATGCAGTATATGCCCTGAATCAGAGGCTTCTATATGGCACTGTGTTCCTGGGAAGAAGAAAATAGGTGCCTAGGAACCAAGAAGTGGAAGCAGGAAGGACTCCACTTACCATTTCTCCAGTGACCCACTGGAAGATTTTATGTTGCCCATCCCTGCAACTCTGGGCTCTACAGGGTTGGAGAGCCTGATACGGGGATGCACTCTTGCCATTGGACAAAATGAACTACAAGCTGTGGCTGCTACCTGGACATCTTGGATTCCTGTGTCTAGGGCCCAGCAGGCAAGAAGAGTCACCATCTTAGCAGAGGTCATTGTTCCTGATCAGCAGGTGGAGGCAGGGCTCCTATTACACGTGGGGACAGGTAAAAATATGTGTAGAATTCAGGTGGCCCACATGGGTGCCTCTTTGCGCTTTTTGTTGAATTGCAAACTTGGGTGAACAAGTGCAGCCATCCCAGCCAAAGAAGGATGTGGTTAACCAAAGCTCAGACCGCTCCAAGTGGAGCACCTGCTCCCTGGATCTGTGGAGAGAAGTAAATCTGTGTGGCACAGGGGTGGGCTATGGCAACCACGGATGGGTGTGCTGTTCAAATGCCCCTTCAAGAAAGAACTTAGTGACCAGTTGAGAGAGGAGCAATTAACTGACAGCTTCAGGTTGCAGCACCTTTGGGATCTGCTGTGGTTTTTGAGCTGAGACCAGGATGTTTTTCAGCCAGCCCCAGCCAATGACTGAGCATGTACCCAGCTCTCTTACATTTGGGGACTTCTGTACTCCAACCCCAACTATGGGGTTCCCTTTCTTTAACCTTTCTCTCTCTCTCTCTCTCTCTCTCTCTCTCTATATATATATATATATATATATATATTTACTTGACAGACAGAGATCACAAGCAGGCAGAGAGGCAGGCAGAGAGAGAGGAGGAAGGAGGCTCCCCGCTGAACAGAGAGCCCAAAGCCTGGCTCGATCCCAGGACCCCGGGATCATGACCTGAGCCGAAGGCAGAGGCTTTAACCCACTGAGCCACCCAGGCGCCCCTTTTTTCCCCTTTCTTTTCTTTTTAACTGTAACTGAGAGAAGAGTCTCTCTAGTAGGGAAGGTCTAAGAGGTAGACTCCACAATTACTGGTTTCTGGCCACATGAAGAAGCCCGACTACAGTGAGTGAGAATGAAGTCAACACACAGAGAAGTACAAAGACAAGAGACAGAGAGTGCATGCAGCATTCAGTTGCTTGAGGTCCACCTGTATCCAGCTCTTCTAGATTTGATTGTTCTAAACTTAGACTATCTAAAGATAACTTTAGACTATCTAAAGATCGTCTAGTATGCTTCCAATGAATAATCTAATCGGAATCAGACGTCCATGATATGTGATTGCTTATGTTCTGGTATTTAGGAGTATCCTACACCTATTTTATGTTAAAAGTTGACATTGAGGGCACCTGGGTGGCATCTGCCTGTCAGTTGAGCATCTGCCTTCCACTTGGGTCATGATCCCAGTGTCCTAGGAGCGAGTATCATATCAGGCTCCCTGCTCAGCGGGAAGCCTGCTTCTCCCTCTGCCTGCGTCTGACCTCTCCCCTCATGCTTATGCTCTTTGTCTCTCAATGTCTCTCAAATAAATAAATAAAATCTTTTTTAAAATTTTAAAATTGAACACTCTTGAGGGGTATAATTGGATAGTTAATACCTTCCGTATATCAAGGGCAAGAAGAATAAGAAGGATGGAGGGGAAGAAAGAATGAAGAGGCTTAGAGTAGTAAGAGGCGGGGAAGGGCTTCTAACCCCACCACTTAATGGGAGCTTCTGTTAGTGCCAGGACCCTGCCTCTAGAACAAGGCTGTCCAACAGAAATACAACACCTGCCACGCATTTAATAAACATGTTTCTAGTAGCCACATTAAAATTTGTTTTCTAAAAACAGGTGAAATTAATTTAAAAATATAATTACTTAAACCAACATACGAAAAATATTGTCATTTCAACATGTAGCCAATTAAAAATTAATAAGCTAATTACATGTATAGTAATAACAATTCAGATGCTCACTGTATTTAGATTTCCCAATAACTGAATCAAGTATCAGTTTTTAAATTTAAAATTAAATAAAATTTAAAATTTAGTTTTCAATCACAGTAGCCACATTTCAACTGCTCATTAGCCATGTGTGGCTAGTGACAAACTTATTAGCACAGATAGAGAACATTCCATCAGTGCAAAGTGTTATGGGACTCTGCAGGTCTAGATGGACTGGTTGACTTCCAGCTGGTTAATTTACTTCTCTGAGCCTTAGTTTTCTCATTAACAAACTGGTGACAGTATTTTAAAGGATTGTTGTGAGTAATAAGAGAGGGAATGTGCAGAAGACATTGAGCACAATGCCTGCCAAACAGAAAGGAATGAATGATAGTTATTTGAAAACTAAGTCTCTGTATATGCTTTCTATATGCTTCCACCACTCTCTGCCACCTATGCCTGGTTATTCCTTGGTATTCTTAAGCGGGGCAGGAATTAGTGAGGATGGCAGTGAGAAGTAGGGAAGGGCCCAGCATCTGGGTACTTGCATGCACCCCAACTCAGCCCTGTGGTTAATTTATGAACACTGTTTGCTGCTACTATTATCTTTGGTTCTTCCCTTCCCCTTATCTATTCAGATGGCTTTTGCTCTGGAACTCCAAGTCCTACATGCCCCTCCCCCTTCTACTCTGAACTAGAATAAATGATTAACCACACAAAGCAGTCATCAACAGTCTTTCCAAGGACATCAATGACCTCATTAAGTTCATGCTAAGGGGCACTTTCTCCTCAACCTCTGCAGTGTCTGACACTGTTACTTCTTCCTCCTCATCCTGGTTTTCCTCTAACATCCTACAGATTATTCCAACTCCTCTTTCTCCTCCTCCTGCTTTTGCGAAGGCAAACGTCTTCACTGCTCCCTAGGCCTGAACCTTCCCTGGGCACAATCTCATTTACTCCTAAACTCAGTTCTCCTAAACTGATAGCTCCCAAACCTATCCCAGCTTCCACTTCAGCTTCAAGCCCAACCTACTGCTCTTTTCTGGCCCCTCCTCCCGCATGACCCACCTCTGAATTCATGCTTATTCCCCTCAAACCAGGTTCCCAGGTTGCTGTCAGTGGGGGAAGAGAACACACACTGACTCCAAGCTCCTGTGGCCACATCTTGTACTAGGTCCTTCATTTTATCTTCACAAGTACTCTGTGAGGAAGGAACTGCGATCTACATTTTACATCTAGGAGGGAAAAAGGACTCAGAAGAAGAAGAAACCAAAATCTAGGTCTATCTGAATCTGGACTCCATTTTCTTTCTAATACATAGGACCACCTCCCATAACTCAATCAGTGAATTGATGCTTTCTGCCAGGACTGGTAATATACCATCTACCCCCTAACGGTTTGCACTTTAGTGAGAGAGACAGAGAAGATACAGGTAAATTCAATGATATGATAGTGCTATGATAAGTTCCAATGGGAATGCACAGGGGGGAACCTAACTCGGGCTTTGGGGTCAGAAAAGCCTCTACCAAAGAGAAAATATCTCTGCTGAATCAAGAAAGACTAGTAAGAATCACAAAGGAAGAGAACTGGGTTAGGAAGCATGCTCTCAGGCAGAGGTTGTAGTGAGAACAAATGCGTGAAACAGGGAGAGTTGGAAGGCTGCACACAGTTCAGGGTGGCTGGAGCCAAACCAGAGGTAGCGTGAGACAGAGGTAAGCAAGGCCAGCTGGAATCTAGGTTGAGGGTACAGGAAACCATTAGATCCTTTTAGCAGAGGAGATTTGCATATGAGATTTGCATATGAAAAAGAATCTCTCTGGCTAGAAGGTAGAGAATGGACTCTAGAGGGAACTAAAGAAGAGAAAGCAGGGAAACCCATTAGCAGGCCAAGGCCACAGTCCAGGTAAGAGATGATGACAGTGCAAATTAAGGTAATGGCCCCCTAGATAAGGAGGGGTAGAAGGAAATCCAGGTTGGAGACTGCAAGGGACTTGGCGGTTGATTAGATGTTAATAGATGTGGAAAATAGCTAAAGAATCAAGAATAATATTCATGTTATGAATGTTATCATATTCATATTATGAATATATCAATATTCATGTTATAAAGTGGGCAACTGTGTGGATGGTAGAGTTAATTAATCACAGCATTTCTTTCTTTCTTTTTTTTTTAAGATTGTATTTATTTATTTGACAGAGAGAGAGATCACAAGTAGGCAGAGAGATAGACAAGAAAGGGCAAGTATGAAGGAATATTGATGCCTTTCACTTGGAGACATGTGGAAGCGAGGTGCCAGTGGGACACCCAGAGCAGGCTGTCTGATAGACAGTGGTCTACAGGTTTGTGGCTGAGGAGAAGGAACTGTCGGGATAGAAGCAGAGGTTTGAGTTTCATCAATGGTAACTTAAGCAGTAGGGGTATATGAATACTCCAAAAGATATAAAAGGAGGGGAAAAGTGGGTTGAAGAAGGAACTGAGACACACAAACATTTAGGAGTTAAGTAGAAGAAACACCTTCAAGGAGACTGAGAAGAAGCCAGAGAAGCAGGAGGAAAAACTGAAAAAGTATAGATTTGTATAAGCAAAGGGAAGATAGGAGTAGAGGTAAAGATGCTGACAGTATAACTAGTTTCAACAGTAGGGAGGTTATGGGTGTACTTTCTGAGAGCAATCTAAGCCAGTCAGCAGTGGGGTGAGGGGAGACTGGATGGTAAGCAAATGTAGATGGTGAGCCTAGAAAACTCCTTCAAGTTTGAGCTTCATGTTGGGTGTAGAGATTACTTAAATGAATAAAACTTTAAAAAAGGAAAAGAAAAGAAAACTCCTTCAAAATATCTGTTTGCATGGGATTGTGAGGGAAACAAACCATAAGAGACTCTTAATCTCCCAAAACAAACTGAGCATTGCTGAGGGGTGGGGAAATAGGGATAGGGTGGTTGGGTTATGGATATTGGGGAGGGTATGGGCTATGTTGAGTGCTGTGAAATGTGTAAGCCTGATGATTCACAGACGTGTACCCCCGGGGCAAATAATACATTATGTGTTAATAAAAATAATTTTTTAAAAATCTATTTGCAATAAATTCACTGTAAAGATTAAATGAGATGATGAAAGTAAAGCAATGAGCACAGCACGTGACACAACAATAATTCAGTAAATGTTAGCTACCACTACTATTATAATATATTAAGGAATGTATCTTGGGGTGTGTGGGTGGCTCTGTGGGTTAAGTGTTCAACTCTTGATCTCTGCTTAGGTCTTGAGCTCCTTGTGGTGAATTTGAGCCCTACCTTGGGCTCCACATTGGGCATAGAGCCTAGTTTAAAAAAAAAAAAAAAAAAAGGAATATATCTTCAGGAAGAGGAGAGACAGTGGTAAACCATGAGATGTAAGGTTAGGGAGGATTTTTTTTAAGGCCTCTCTCTACCATATTGAAAAAAAAGGGTAAAAAAATTATTTATTTATTTATTAGATTTATTTATTAGATCTTATTTATTTATTTTATTTATTTGAGAGAGGCAGAGCGTGAGCAGAGAGAGAGATATAAGGAGAAGCAGTCTCCCCACTGAGCAGGGAACCTGATGTAGGACTCTATCATAGGACCCTGGGGTCATGACCCACCAAAGACAGACACTCAACTGACTGAGTTACTCAGGCGCCCCTCGCCCAAAAAAAGTTTTTAAACCGTCATCAAAGAAATATATGCAGATGGTTAAATAAATAAATAAATAAATAAAAGCAACAGTCCCCTGAGCAACTCTTTGCTAGCCCAGAAGCAAACACTTTGAACTGCTTCTGTGTTGTGGTAACCTCCTTTCACTAATAACCTCCTAATGACTGTTTCTTGGTTTATCAGCCTTAGACATTATCTACTAACTTTCTGCTATGCTAAGTTAACTTATACCTCTCTCTTCTTTGTCATCCAAAGTGGTTGTGTCACCATCCACTAGCCACAAAACCTACATAAGCTCTATTTTTCATTCCATTAATCACAGCATTTCTTTCTTTCTTTTTTTTTTTTTTAAGATTGTATTTATTTATTTGACAGAGAGAGAGATCACAAGTAGGCAGAGAGGCAGGCAGAAAGAGGAGGATAAGCAGGCTCCCCACAGAGCAGAGAGCCCAATGCCAGCTCGATCCCAGGACCCTGAGACCATGACCTGAGCCAAAGGCAGAGGTTAACCCACTGAGCCACCCAGGTGCCCCTAATCACAGCATTTCTTGACTCCCTACATTTAAGGTGAGGATGTTAGTAGCTTACTCTTCCCACAACCTCTCAAGGGGAAAGGTTAGTTTTTGTTTGTTTTGTTTTTTAAATGTGAGAGATTCTTGAATAAGGTTAAATGGAAAGGAATCAATGGAAGTGAACAATTGTAGATTGCAAACAGTTGTTGCCCTGGTCCCTGGAGAGACAAGAGGATGACTTCCGAGTCCAATATGGGATATCTCCTCCGTAATGGCATAAGTCTAGGAAATTTCCAGAACATGAGGAACTCCTTTGCACCCTAGATCCAATCAGCTATAAAATTCCATAGATTCCAACTCTTCCATTACCATCTTTCTATTCATTTCTCTTCTGCCCATGTCATTGGCCTTTTAATATTTCTGACTTGGACAGCAGACTTCTAACTTATTTCTCTCTTTCTCTTCACTTACCCCACTCACACAATGGGTCCCAGCCCAGCAGGGGTTATTGAAAAGGTGCAAGCTGGGAGTAATGAGGTAAAGGCCAGGGCAAATGGAGCATGTTCCCCAGGTACAAGCATCGTTTCTCAGGACTGCCCATTCCAACAGAGCTTCAGGGCCTTACCAGAAGAGGTAAAGGCTGGTTAGGCCCCCCAAAATGTGCCTGTTGCAAAGTCAAGTAACCATAGCATGGGCTCTGGTTGAGAAATTCTCTTCATATATCCTTCAGAATATCACAAAAGAAGAAATACAAACGCCAACCAACATTTAAATGTTCAATATCACTAGTGTAGAGTGACAGCCATGAGAAAAGGTGTGTATTATTTTTTGAAGGGCTTCTTTTGTGCCCATGATTAAATTAAATTAGTAACTGGACAGCTCAGCTGGGAGGTGCTTTCCCCTGCTTCTCTGGTCTCAGTCCTTTGGGAACTGGATACGCCTGGCATAGGGCTCTAACTGCGGAGAGCATGTGAGGCATGTACCTCTGTGTCACGGAAGCTCTGACACTGAGCGAGATTATTTTTAGAGGTGACCTTCTAGGTTCCAAGGAAAAGTAAACAGACAGATGCACATGATTTCCTCTGAGAGACTCTCAGTAAACAAATTGGCATGTGTGCACTCACTATTATCCCATGTTCTGAATTCAGGGCTCTTAAAGAACAAGCTCAGGGGAAAAGCTTTGTTGAAAGCCGTAACCAACCAGAATAAAGAAAGGGGAAACTGGGTGAAAGTTCAGTTTCTAGCTACTGGGTCAGAAAACCACAGATGAAACACCTTATCTAGTCCAAATTCTTGGAAAACATGTTTTATTTTATTTTTTAAATATTTTATTTATTCATTTGAGAGAGAGAGAGAGAGAGCTAGAGAGAGCACAAGCAGGGAGAGAGGCAGAGGGATAGAGAGAAGCAGACTCCCCACTGAGCTGGGAGGTGACATGGGGCTCGATCCCAGCACCTGGAGATCATGACCTGAGCTAAAGGCAGACGCTTAACCATCTGAGCCACACAGGCACCCCAACATGTTGTTTTAAATAACATTTCAACACTTTCTCATAAAAACATTGCTAAAATTTATTATTTAATTTCTTACCTTTTATTTTTTATTACTCTTTTTGTTTTACCTTTGTGGTTTTTCCTGTCTGATGCTTATTATTTTTAAGTGAACATTGTAAGAAAATGTAGAAAGGAAAAATATTTCCATAATCCTTCTGCTTGTTAATACTTTGTTATAAAAAAGAATGCTTTGTTATATATCCTTGAGATTTTTTTGCACATGCTTTTATCTGTATATCAACAAAAGAAAATGTACTGTCTTAAAACTTTCTTTTGTCATCCAGTACTGTATCTTTTTTTTTTACAATTTTATTTATTTATTGGACAGAGAGAAAGCACAAGCAGGGGGAGTGACAGACAGAGGGAGAGGGAGAAGCAGGCTCCCCTCAGAGCAGGGGGAGCCCAATGTGGAACTGGATCCCAGGATCACTTAACCAACTGAGCCACCCAG